GGCTTGTCATAACTCTGCAGTCCCTTAACTTTTCATCCTACCCCATTATTAGCTCAAACATTTTTATTGGCAAATCATACTTACGACCAAATGCGTGCAAAACTAACGTCATTCAGCTGTTTTTGGTGTTTAGTGCTAATTATTTGTTAGCATGCTAACATACTAAACTAAGGTGGTAAAGACTGTAAACATCACAGTGGCCCTATTATCACCACTTAATTAAAAGCATGGTTGCAGTAGATCGACCTTTTAAGTTGCAAAAAATGTTTTATGAGTTGTGTTGATATAATAATGTTGGTAATTAAGTCAACGGTAATATTGTGAGTAAATTTGGAACTACATTTCTGCGTTATGTGGTTCAAAACAAAAGGTCAAGTTGTATTAACTTATACAAATTTGCTTGATAACTTAATTTTTCTGCCACCTTGCGAGGTCAACATTTCAAGTCCCCTCGGGCCCGTACCCACCCACCTACGTCACATGCTGGGCAACATTCACGACCAGTTGAGACTCTGTGTTTAGCAAATACTTGATATAGCAAAGGACATTTTATAGGTGACGTATCAAACATTCCTTTCAAGGATTTGGGCATATTCCCTCAACTTTGTGGATTCTTGAGCAGCCGCTGTGGACTTGTGGACCTGAATGGTTAGGCTACCATCCTGTTAATACATGTTGAGCTGGGAATATGTTCGTCGACTAATAAACATAGCTTAAGGCTAGTCATCATTTAATAGTAGTAGTTTAGCCATTCTACCCTTCCAGAGGGGGGGTGTAGCAATAGCAGTGGAAAGCGAATGATAAAAGTTTAATTTGGCAAATCCCACGCGCTCAGGCTTTTGAGAGAGCTTTTTCTATTTGAGCCATGGAGAGAAATAGGCATGGAATATCCTTTCTGTATGTGTTTAACTGTAACTACAATTCCGCTGTTTGTATTTAGATTAAACCTGGATAAAAATGTAAGGTGGCCTTTAGCAGGGTACTGCTGACCGGGGCCGGCATCTTATTGCGCTGGTCTTCTGGTTCCAAGTTGCCCCTATGGACCGAAGCGACTACCCTTGGAACAAAATGGCAAGTCCAATGCAATAGTGGGGTCATCTTCAGGTGCCGCTGCCCTTTAATTAACCACTGTATGTCAGAGTTCACCATATGTGTTGAGGAAGTGTGGGATTCTTACCTCAAAGAGCTAGGTCAATATAAGGAGCATACCGCTCGCTATAGTGCCATTAAGACAGAAGGAGGTATTCGAACGCGCACAGTCTCACAATTTTATTTTATCTCTTTTACAGACCTGCCTCTTAATAAAGAACAGAACATTCTCCACCACCTATAGCATTATCGATATTTACCACAACAACGAATAACCACGATTACATTTCTTGCTGTTAGGTCTGCAATCACATAATGTTGTCTTCTTCTTCATTCAGATTCTCCATATGCCAATGTCTCTATCCTTAAAAGACACAATGTGTGTAATGGACGTCCTGCCTTTTCTCAAAGAAATTGTCGGCCGGCACGCTGCGGATTTGTTACAGAGATAAAACACAGACAACGCAATCACATGAATTTTCCACAGATTAATATCCATATCAAAAACATACCTTATGCAGAGTGTATATTTGGATATCATGTTTGATCATTCCGTGCATTCCGTTCAGACCTATTGAAAAGCCGTCCTAGATCTATAAAAGTAGTAAAACCCATGCTAGGACAGACCCATTCGGCAGCGACTTTGAGAGGTACTGACCACGGACCCAATATTTTAAGTGATGACCCTCATTCCCTTTCTCCTTCTCTGTACACTTATGTGCATTATTTTCTCTTTTCTGCACACGGTTCTCCTCTACTGTTATCACCCCCTGCTCCAACCACAACCAGACCTGGTAACACTTTTCAACGAGTGACCTAGTTTTGTGAACTGCGGACAGTTCACAAGTTATGACAGAATGGGGTAAAGGTTCTACCAAAGAGATGTGACAGTCATGTATGTAGAGGGAACAAAATACCGACTCGTGTAATTTGAATATGGGTTGCGAGGGAATACTTAGCCACAGTGTCCGTTGTGTCCCTTCCGAGAATATGGTAACGCAATAAATAGGATAGTGAATTAAAATATTTAGGAAGATAAGATGATCTAAGCTCGCAGGTCACACCTCGAGTCATTCTTTTCTAATACTACTATCTTAGTCAACCTCTCAAACAGGTTAAAAACCATATACAGATAATATTTGACAAATTACCAGCACAAAAGGCATGAGCCAATATTGAAATTTGATAACACAGGTGAACATTACAAGCCTTTAACCTCTTCACATTTATCTGTTTATAGATAATAGGATAATGATAAGCACCTGGCATAAAGGCTGCCATAGCATTCAGGGGTGTTTAATGTCCGCCGCTGTATAACTGTGAATGGAGACTCTAAAATGCAACCACACATTTACCCGAAAATGTCATACAAACACGTGAAGTATGGTCAACTATGAAAGCAAGGAATTAATTGTTTAATGCAATACTGTCATCAGCAACTTATGACAATCCCATTGTTAAATATCGTCTCAAAACCAACTGTGTGCTTGATGATTGAAAATTAAAGGAGATCAGATATAACAGGGTATAAAATTACTATGTTCTTGATCCTTATCTTATCCTCTCCCAGTCTTTTAGGTACTCCTACGACGGACCAAAAAACCCAGTGAAACAGTCACGACCATACAATCTACGAGTTCCTGATTTATCTTCACACAAACAACAGAACTTAGAAGGACATAGCAATACTTACTACAGCTGGATTTGATTGTGTTGATTAGAACATGTTTTAATTGATGTTTAAACAGCGTCGCTGCCTAACTGGTCAGACAACCTGGACTTTCTGCGACATCAGCGAGCTGAGCTGGTGCGTAGGTAAGTGTTGAGTTAAAATATCCGTCTGACTCCTGGCGCCCAGCCCAGTACAAGCACGTACTTCAGACACACCGTGCATCATAGATGTGGCCATGGCACAGCTGATGTGGGCCACTGGCCACTACCACATTACTCTTTCAGGAACAAGCACTCATTCTGGTGTGAATCACCTTATAACCGCTCTGGACTGCCCAGGAGGTATGAACGTTTTGCTACGGTTATTTCATTCAAACACGCTTGAGGATATGTGTAACTACTACAATCTCTACAATACTCTAGAGATTGTTTTGCCTTCCAAGCGTACAATTCTTTCTCCCTCTTTACTTTGAGTTTTTCACGACCATCACAGAACCCTTTTTTCACTTTTCTCCGAAGTATACATCTTCGTTGCATATGGAAATCAGACACGGATACTAAATTGCAAGAGAGTTCACAGCACGAGGTTGATTTTTCTTATCCACACACACAGACCTCTAGCCTATTGTCCTCACCCTTCAACCGCCGGACGAATCCACCACACCAGGTAGAACAGGAGTTACCATCTGACACCTCTAATTAGTACACACCAACACGTACTGTGGATGGATCCATAAAGCACAGACCGCAATAAAATGAAACTACATGCGAATTAAAATAACCTCGACGCCCACTGTCAGAGATACTTGAAAATTATATTGTGCAGTGCATTTACAATAAATGCTACATCCTGATAGGCAAGAAGTGTCCAGTGGAAAAATTGTATTGGTTATACTGCGATCTGGCACGTGACATATAATTATCATTTTAGACTACAGGCATGCCTGTACTCGCTATAGTAAAAAGATGCTTCGAGTGTGTTGCCGATGACTGGTACCAATTCACATTTCAACACATTGAGAAAACTGATTCCTATCGTTGATCCGAATAATGGGCAACTACTTTCGTTGTGATACATCACCTGCTCTGCACTACATCGCACAACAGATTAAGAGGAAAATCTTGTAGGTTAGGTCAGGAGGGTAAGAAATTTACAGTGATGTAGGTCAGATTGTTGCAACAGAGAGGTCGATGCATGAGCAGTGCATTCTGGGCCCGGCCGAGGCGTCTCAGTCTGGTCTTGTTCACCCGGTCGAGGACCTGGCCAGACCGTTGACTCGAGCATGATTGCCGCTGCCATGGTGGAGGTCCGAGAGCACCGTGCCAGCCGATCTACGTTGAGGGGGGGCGGGACCCACAACCAACGAAACCACACAAGTTCACAGCCCGTCCGCCTACACACAATTACGTACCAGGTACCACACCCACAGCTGAAATACTACAGAATAACAACTAACCGTGGTGGGCAGAACACCTCGTGACACATGAGAAATTATGTTTCAAGAACTAAGCGCCGTTAATGCCTGATCTCTCACGGGCTGCCGTGAATGCTGGACTCAGACTGGTCGGACAGTGACCTACTAACAGTCACAACTGTTAATCTGAAACAAGTGATTTACAGAAAGGTTTATGGAGAGTTATACCCTCGTGTCTGTTGCAAGCACCAGTTGAATTTAGTCTGATTTTCTTTTTTCATCAACTCTTTATCTCCTGTCCGTCGTTCTTGCCTCTCGTCAATGTGCCTCTTCCGTCCTGCATACTCTATTTCTTCCACCTCGCTCCAGCCAGCAATCCAAGCGAGAAACCTCCCAAGCCCAGCATGGTAGGGGTGGGAGTGAGGGGGAGTCGACGGAGGAATGGAGCCATGTGCACGCGGCTATCTCTCAACAAGACTGGTCATAAGTACTGCTCCCCAACGAACCTCCTCAGCACCCTCAGGCAAGGACACGCTTCGTCATCCGACGTCTCCCAAGGAGATCTTGAGTGGTGCAAATGTAATAACCCAGGAAAAACAAAAGACAGACTGCTTTAAACCAAACTGCAACCACCATACACCACATGACGTTCCTCTCTCCTCCTTCTCTCATCAATACCACCACTACTCACACACGCACGTCACGACACACACCAACATCTGACACACACAACAGAG